TAATTGTGGTTTTATAGTTTAATACTTATGCATGTGAAAATATCATTCCTGTCTTCAATTAGTGTGTTTTCTGAAATGTTGTGGACAAATAGTTGTGATATTGTGGATATATAGCTTTATAATTGTGGTTTTATAGTTTAATACTTATGCATGTATGAAAATATCATTCCTGTCTTCAATTAGTGTGTTTTCTGAAATGTTTGTGGACAAATAGTTGTGATATTGTGGATATATAGCTTTATAATTGTGGTTTTATAGTTTAATACTTATGCATGTATAAAATATCATTCAGTCTTCAATTAGTGTGTTTTCTGAAATGTTTGTGGACAAATAGTTGTGATATTGTGGATATATAGCTTTATAATTGTGTTTTATAGTTTAATACTTATGCATGTATGAAAATATCATTCCTGTCTTCAATTAGTGTGTTTTCTGAAATGTTTGTGGACAAATAGTTGTGATATTGTGGATATATAGCTTTATAATTTGTTTTATAGTTTAATACTTATGCATGTATGAAAATATCATTCATGTCTTCAATTAGTGTGTTTTCTGAAATGTTTGTGGACAAATAGTTGTGATATTGTGGATATATAGCTTTATAATTGTGTTTTATAGTTTAATACTTATGCATGTATGAAAATATCATTCCTGTCTTCAATTAGTGTGTTTCTGAAATGTTTGTGGACAAATAGTTGTGATATTATGGATGTATAGTTTAATAATTCTTATTTACAGAAATGGCTCGTGAACCTACACTGGCTGAGGATCTTAGAGAAACAAAAAGAAGAAGAACAGAGTACGGACAGCAGCAATTCTAGATTCACAAGCAGCTCAGAGCTCTAATCCAACTAGTGAACAACCAGCAGCAGCCCTAAATTCACAAGCAGCTCAGCGCTCACGCCTGCTAAGGAAACAACTGTTGCAGAGACTTCAACGAGACGGCGCCGACGAACTAGAAAACACAGGAGAGATTACTTCAATACGAGGATGGGGCCAAAGCTGATGTTTGATCTTGTCCAGAGGCTCTCACCACGACAGAAACAAGCTGTCGTAGAAACTGGATTTGGTGGACTTCTTCATCTCCAACTCTGCACCAATGAATCAAAGTTGGTGCAATACCTGCTGGACAACTTTAATGTTTGCAGGTGTGATTTTGTATTGAGGATGATAGTCTCCACATTGAAGAGGAAGATGTCGAATACACGTTGGGAATCCCGCGAGGGCCTGAAGGTCAATGAGGGGACAAAGATGGAAGACACCTCAACCCGTGAATACAAACTGCTTGACTTCATGGAGAAGGAGGTGGGGTATTACAGCAGGCTCGCCAATAACTACACAGATGCCAGATGAGATTGTTAGGAGAGCTGATCATGGTGATGAGTTCAAGAGGGATTTCGTAGTCTTTGCCGTTTCCTCCATGCTTCGAGGAAACATAACACGCTACTCCAAGTACAGGATCTTAAACTCATTGATTGATGTTGATATGATTAAAGAGTACAATTGGTGCGCCTACACATACCAATCTCTCATTGACTCGATAGATAGTTACAATGAAGATAGAAAGAGAAGCTTTTGGGGGCCAATGACATTGATATTGGTCAGTTCTTATTGTCTTTAATCTAGTTGCATGAATTTTATGTAGTTGTAGGTGTATAAACTAACAATTTATTATGGATATATATGCATGAAAACTTGGAATATACTCAGTTTAATAAGATCCTTTATGTAGTTTAATTTGTGATATATAGTTTTAAAATTGTGGATATATAGTTATGTGATTATGGAATATATAGTACTCTGTGAATATATGAATGTATTACTCTGTGGACATACTGTTAATAATTCTGGATATATATTAATGTGTTTTTGGATGTATAGTTATGGTTTATGGATATATATGCATGACACTTGGAATACACTCAGTTTAATGAGGTCCTTTATGCAGTTTAATTTGTGGATATATAATTTTAAAATTGTGGATATATAGTTATGTGATTATGGATGTGTAGTACTCTGTGAATATATGTATGTATTACTCTGTGGACATACTGCTAATAATTCTGGATATATATTAATGTGTTTTTGGATGTATATTTATGGGTTTATGGACATATATGCATGAAACTTGGAATATACTCATTTTATTAAATATCATTTTTTATTTCTGAATTTTGTGGATATATAGTTTTTAAAGTTATGGATATATAGTTATGTGATTATGGACATATAGTTATGCATTACACATGACCATGCAATTAAGAATACATGGATAAATTGTTCTAAATTCATCTTTAACATAATCTTCTGTAATTTGTAGCTGTTCTACTTTGATCGAGTAGAATTCAAAGGAATGAAGATCAACAGGACATACCCTAGCATACTTGCTTGGACAACCACGCTTGTAAGAAAGAGAGTCAAGGCTGAAAAAAGGGCTGGTGGGTTTGGAAAAGGAAGGGTTATCCCTAGAGTTAAGAAGCCAAGGACTGATGCTACCACCTCACTGCAACAACCTGCAAGCACTGCTGCTGCTACAACCTCACTACCACAACCTGCATTTACTGCTGCTGCTACTACTTCTTCTACTCCTGCTACTGCAACACCGACACCAACTACAAGTGAGCCACTCTCAAGTGTTGATCGGGTGACCGTGTGCTCCAAAAGCTAGCATCAGATGTCCTGGAGTTTGGTGAAGCTATGTCTGAAATTGGAAAGCAGGGCGCACCTATTGAAGTCCTGAAGAAAGCGTTCTCAGGGATATCAAACATGCTAGGTGCTGCAAGCGCAATTGAATCAACTTCCATTCCAACTGAATCTCAGTTGGATGACATATTCTTTGGGAGTGAAACCTTCACCGCTGCAGTGGATTCATTGGTGGAAGCATTTCAGAAGACAACAAGAACCATGGAATTTGAAGCTCCATCATTTGATTTGGGAATACACTGCAATGAATCGCAACCGCAGCCATGTGAGCAACACACAGAGCAAGTAGTTGAAGAGGACCTACCATTGGATGCTTTGGTTCAACAAATTGGAGAGGATGCAGGACTGTCAACGACCTTGGAGCACAAGTACTCCTCCACTTGTTAGGGTCCCATTTCAGAGATATGTTCGTCATGCCGCTGCTACTAATGCTGATGTTGATGACTTTGATTGGTAAATTTACAGTTTGTTATTTGCATTGGCTTTAACGTTATGAATTTATAGTGCTAAAATTATGAATATAAACTTATGAACATTTTTACAACTGTGGACATATAGCTTTAAAATTGTGGATATATAGATATAAAATTATGAACATTTTAAATCTGTGAATATATAGTTCTATGATTATGTACATATATGTTTAATATTATGGATATAAAGTTCTAATACTGTGGATATATAAACAACAGTGCCATGCAAGAAAGTGAGTCTGATGTTGAGGACGTGACTGTTAGGATGAGACCCCAGCGACGATTCAGGAACAAACCTCTTTGTTTGAGGTCACCATACTGGACACAGAATGCAGGTTTTATACGCACTGCAACTCCACGGGAAAAAATCATTTCAAACTATGCATTCTTGAGTGTGTCTACCGAACACCAGAAGAGTATGTTTGAACACATATATTTATAATAACCTTTAAATTACTTAGATAGTTCATATTATTATAACTATTGGTGTTATTATTATATTGTTATTTTGGTGCTGTAGTGAGTTGCTGTTCAGCTATGGTGACTACTACCTAACAAGGCGTCACTTCTCAACTTTGAGCAATGACGAGTTGGATATAGACTTCTTGAATATTTGGTCTTTGCGGCTAACTTTGAAGAACACAGAACGTGCTGTTGGGATACCAAAACGCGTATTCTTCACCACACTGCCACATGTAAGAGTTATTTTTGACATGCAGATGCGCATTTTTAAAAATCTAGTACTCTAAGCCTTTTGAATACTCATTTTTTGCATTTCTGTGTATTCAAAAACAGCTGCAGCTTGATCCATCTGATGATTGGATGAAAAGTCTCCCAGCTGAGAAAAGGATGGAAAATTTCAATGATAGATTGAATTATGAAATATCAAGTTTTGGAAACCTGGAAATCAGTGATGCAGACCTTGTAAGATCTATTACACACACTTAATTTAATAATTTAAGATTTTATTATTGATATATATGCATGAAGCTTGGAATATACAAAGTTTAATAAGATCCTTTATAAAGTTCTGAATTTTGTGATATATAGTCTTAAAATTGTGGATATATAGTTATGTGATTATGGATATGTAGTACTCTGTTAATATATGAATGTATTACTCTGTGAACAGACTGTTAAGAATTCTGGATATTTGGTAATGTAGTTTTTGGATGTATAGTTATTAATTTGTGGATTTATATGCTTGAAGCTTGGAATATACTCGGCTTATTAGGATCTTTATAAATTTCCGAATTTTGTGGATATATAGTTTTATATATATATGGGATATATAGTACTCTGTCAAATATGAATGTATACCCATGCAGTTAACAGTACCTGGGTATGTAGTTGTTTCAAATAATAACCTTTTGTTTTGGAATTAGATATTTTCCCAGTGCATCGCCATGCACACTACTTGTTTGTGCATAAATGTCAAGGAATCCAAGGTTCAGTGATAGACAACAAGGAATTGCCTGCTGGTGTTTCAGAGCTTGATAAATATGGGGACTGTCCATACAAACTGGTAGCTTATATTATATTAAAAAATCTCCTTATTGTCACCTATATATTGAATTTAAAACATTATGAACATTGAGCTAATTTTTTACCAGATTGAAGCATTCAAGGCGTACCTGGCAGCAGGACAATCCACCTTGACTCACAAACTGAACAGCATGCCAGTAGAGTTCCTTGCCATGCACTGGAAAAATGCAGAGAATGTCACCGACTGTGTCATATATGTAATGCGGCATATGGAGACTTACATGGGTGGAGCTCTCGAGAACTGGGATCCTGGTTCAAGAAACATATGCGCACGAATGTAAGAGTAACATAAATATTTACATTCCAACTACATCAAAAAGTGATGAAAAAATTACAATGAACTAGTTATTTATTTTCTTATTTTACAGGCTAGCTTCATTTTTGAGTTGAGGGCAAAGTATGCTGCTTGTATCATCACGTCAAAGCTGAACAGCGTCAAAGGCGAGGTCATGAAAGCTGCAAAGATTGAAGACAAGAAGAAGTAAAACTGGAAAGATCAATGAATGTTTTTGTGGATGAATATTTTAATATTTTCTGTTCTTATGGTCGTTTTGTAACAACTCTATCACAATTTTTGAAATTCGATCTATGAAATTCACTGAATATATAGTTCTCATATTATGGACATGTAGGTTTAAGATTGTGGATGTATGGATATAAAATTATGAACATCTTACATAAGTATAAACATACCGTTCAAATATTCATATATTCATATTTCAAGAATTATGGACATATAGGTTTAAGATTGTGGACATATTGATATAAAGTTATGAATATTCGTTCAACTGTGAACTTACATTTTACATAAGTGATCAAGTTCACCAGTTTACATATTGATATATAGCTTTAATATTGTGGATATAATGATATAACATTATGAACACTTTTACTAATTTGACACACAATTCCAATATTTTGTGGTCATATAGTTCTCAGAATTATGGACATATAGGTTTAAGATTGTGGACATATTGATATAAAGTTATGAATATTCGTTCAACTGTGAACTTACATTTTACATAAGTGTAAACATCAAGTTCACCAGTTTACATATTGATATATAGCTTTAATATTGTGGATATAATGATATAACATTATGAACACTTTTACTAATTTGACACAATTCCAATATTTTGTGGTCATATAGTTCTCAGAATATGTATGTATAGCTCTAATATTATGGATATATAGCTTTAGTATTATGGATATGTAGCTTTAATATTATGGATATATAGCTTCAAACCTGCAAATCAACAAGTACTAAAATTTTGAATACACAGATCAAACAACTTGTAAATTGATATCCTCAAAACAGCTAGCTACCAACTGGTATTAACCCCACTCTCAATCTACAACTGCATTATCATCTACATCATTACTATACTGACAAAACTCCGAACTCCCAGAACTTGGATGTACAAGGTACCCATCCCCGGCAATCTCAGATAGACTTTCCAAAACCAACGACTGAACAGCACCCTTTGTACTCGAAGCAACTTTATTTGCAGCACTCCTCCTCCCCCTTGCAGCACTGTACTTCTTTTCAATAACACTACTCCTCCTTACGTTACGCTCACCTTTTGATCTCCGGTTTGAAGGATTTTGAATGACACCACTTGAAGATGAAACACCGCACTCTTCAATATGCACATAGCCAATCTCAGCTTCAACCTTTTTCTTTGCTTCCTCAACTGCTTCATCACAGAACTGCCTAGTTACACTGTTATCTTGACTAGATGAAATCAGTCTTTAAAACTTTCTGCAAATCTCCACAACCCAAATTGAAGGAGGGACACCAGCTCTACAAAACATTGAACCAGTATTCACATCCCTACCATCAGCAACCTTTTTAGTCCACCTTTTCATGATATATTTGTTAGGAATACTTGAAACACAGTGTATATGAAGAATGCGTAAACAATGGCAGCATAAAATTCCTAACTCCGAAATCAACTTGCAACTACACGAAATGTCTAAGGTTGACAACTTAAAACTGACTTCATGCCTTATAATATCTATATCTGGACGCCATACGTGATACTTGAACTGACAACCTTCATTCAACACCATTTCTTGATGACAGGCATTGCCTTTCATGAATTGTTCCTCAAACAAAAAATATATCTCAATCGTATATACTCTCTAGCGTGTAACAGAAGTTTCACGTGCTCCATCATCATGTTGGGTACCCCTTGAGTACAACGAAAGTCTTCACCATTCCTCTTTGCTCCTCCATTCAGAAGTTACACTAACAAACGATGAATAAAAATCACATAGACCTGCAGTCTTGGACAGCCTTCTTGAATCGAATGGTTAGTAGTTTCACTCCTTTGCGATGATAAAATGCCCCCTGAAAAATAGTCCTTATTGAATGCTGGACACCACTTCTCCCTACAGTCATACAGCTTTTGTATCCAACTATTCTTGTGGCACTTGTAGTCAGTCACCAACCTGAAATGATAAGACATATGTTCAGAACTCTAATGCTATATATCCACAGTTCCAATATAATAAAACCACAAATTGAATGCATATAATACAAACAGAAAGCTCACTGCTTCACTACTACATGTTCAGACAATTAATACTATATATCCATAATTGTAATATTATATATCCACAATTCCAATACTATAAATCCATAAATTGCATGCATATAATTTAGAGACAAACAGGAAGCTCACTGCTTCACAATACATGTTCAGACAACTAATACTATATGTCCATAATTCTAACACCTGGTATATTCACAATTCCAAAACTATAAATCCATAAATTAAATGCATGTAACTCAGGAACAATCAAGAATTCCATTCTATACTACAACATGTTCACATAATTCTAATACTATATATTCATAATTCTAATACTATATGACCATAATTCTAATACTAAACATCCATAATTCAATTACTGGAATCGAAAAAGGAAAAAAAAAAAAGTA